CTATGGCAGAAGGATCCCTTGAGTCCAGGAGTTCAAGACCAGCGTGGGCAACACAGCAAGACCCTGTCTCTATAAAAACTTTAAAAAATTAACCAGACATGGTGGTGCACACCTGTGGTTGCAGCTCCTCAGGAGGCTGAGTGAGAGGATCACTTGAGCTTGGGAGGGCAAGACTGCAGTGAGCTATGATTGAGCCACTACACTCCAACCAGGGCAACATAGCAAGATCCCATCTCTCTCTCTCTCTCTCTCTCTCTCTCTATATATATATATATATAGTTTGTTTCCCAATACAGTTCATAGTTTCAATTTAGCTGTCCTGTCTCTTTAATATCCTTTCATCTGAAACAGTTCTTCATCTTTGCTTTGTCTCTCATATCACTGACATTTTTTAAGAAGGTAGGCCAATTGTTTTACAGAATGGTCCCAACTTGGGTTTGTCTGAGGTTTTCTCACAATTAGATTGCAGGTTGCACATTTTGGATGTGGTACTATATAAGCAATGCATCCTTAAAGCACTGAATCTGGAGGAATCTTGCTGTTGATGTTAGCTTTAATCACCTGGTTAAGATGATGTGTGGTCACATGGTCCTGCCGGGGGACTAGGGGCAAGGGAAAGGAGAGCATTAGGACAAATACCTAATGCATGCGGGGCTTAAAACCTAGACGATGGGTTGATAGGTGCAGCAAATCACCATGGCACATATATACCTATGTAACAAACCTGCACGTTCTGCACATGTACCCCAGAACTTAAAGTAAAATTTAATTTGATTTAATTAAAAAATAAAAAAACAGGCTGGGCACGGTGGCTCACGCCTGTAATCCCAGCACTTTGGGAGGCCAAGGCAAGTGGATCACCTGAGGTCGGGAATTTGAGACCAGCCTGGCCAACATGATAAAACTCCTCTCTACTAAAAAAAATACAAAAAAATCAGCCGGGCATGGTGGCGGGCACACCTGTAATCCCAGCTACTCGGGAGGCTGAGGCAGGAAAATCACTCGAACCTGGGAGGCAGAGGTTGCAGTGAGCCAAGATCGTGCCACTGCACTCCAGCCTGGGCAACATGAGTGAAACTCAGTCTCAAAAACAACAACAACAACAAAAAAAGATGCTGTGTGGCTTCAGCCCTATATACTTACAGTCTTCCCTTTTGCAATAATTTGAGAGATACTTTGAAACTATATAAATGCCCTGAGCCTCATCAGATTTCCCTCCATTGATTTAGCATCTATTCATGATTCTTGCCTCCCAAAAAGTAATTCTGCCTCATTTTTTTCTATAATATTAATCGGCATTGACTGTAAGGACGAGCTGTACTTTTATCCCCATTTATGTATTTATTAATCTGCTTAAGATACATAGAAATTCATGGATTCTTATTCAGTGGGTTTAAACATTAGGACCCTTATTTATTTTGGTGATTAAATTGTCCCAGATTTGACCAGTGGGAGCGTCTTCAAGCATGCTGCTGTGTCCTTTTGCTCCCCCTTCCCCCACCAAATCCCTTTTTGAGCACTTCCTCACTCTCTAATACAAGGTGCCCCAGAATCATCTTGAACCTATTCCACCCCAGTACTAGAATCAGCCATTGCTCCAAGAAGCTATAGTTCCTTCTGGTGAGAAATGGTATTTAAAAACCAAGATCTGGGTTCTAGGTATGCTCACTGCTCCTAAGATTATGCCTTGCCTTTCTCACTTAACAGTATACCATAAACTTCTTTCCTGTCTACACATGTACCTTAACCATTTTTTTGCATAATACTGCATTAGGTGACTGTTACATCATAATTTATTGAAATACTTTCTTATTAATATAAACATTCAGATAATTTGTTTGCTTTTATTTTTCCAATTACAATATTACAGTGAACATCCTTGTACACACATCACTGCACACAGGTATGAGTATTTATCAGGATAGATTCCCAGATATGGAAATGCTAGATCAAGGACTACGAACATCTTTAGTGTTGCTAGAAAATGCCAAATCAAGCTACTAAAATGTTGCACCAACAGTGTATAAATTTTCCCTAAACTTATGAGAAAATAAGATATCAAACAACTTTAATGTGCTAACATAAGTAGTTAGAAAATGTTATCCCATTGGTTTTAATTTCCATTTCTCTGATTAATAGGCAATTAAATTCATGCTTTGTTGTAAAAGTTGCAAATATTCATCTCAGTCTGTCACTTGTCTTTTAACTTTATAGTATCCTTCACCAGAGAGATTTTTTTCAATGGTTTGAAAATGTGGTCACATTAGGCCAGACGCGGTGGCTCACACCTGTAATCCCAGCACTGTGGGAGGCCGAGGCGGGCAGATCACGAGGTCAGGAGATCAAGACCATCCTGGCTAACACAGTGAAACGCGGTCTCTACTAAAAATACAAAAAAATTAGC